ATTATTTACCTTTATCTTGTTGTGGTGCTCAAGTATTTCATAAATTCTGGATATAAGTCCCTTATCTGATATGTTATTACCGAATACTTTTCCCAGTCAGTGGCTTCCCTTTTTACCCTACTGGAGAAGTTTAGGGGAAGACATCAGACTAGCTTCAAATTCTTCTACAATCATCTTCTAGGCCAAAAGGTAGTGAACCAAACTATTCAAGAATAAAAAGAATGAACCATGGTTCTATATCCATCCAAGCTGCCCTTTGGGTATGAAAGTTGAAGGCATACTGGTTATAGCATACACAGTTGGAAAGAATATTCCTCCCATGAGCACTGCTTGAGGAAAGTTCTAGAAGGTGAACTTCAGCTAGCCAGGAGATAATTGGAGAAACCACATAAAAAGGTAGCATCAGTGATCAGTTAATATATGCCACTAAAAAGCCAGTATAAAACAAAGGCCAGGAAATAAAAACACAGATCAGAATACAAATGCAATATGCCCTGACTTTGGAGCACTCATTACATTGGAAGGAAGAGAAGATGAGAGCAGATTGTCTCCTCTGTAATGACTTTAAGCCAGAGACCATCAATCAAGTGGTAAATGAAATAGATATGAACATCCATGATTATAATTAAATTAAGTATTGGAATTTTGTATATGGCAATGGTAACACCTCAGCAAGGAAAAGATGAATTATGCATTAAGTATTATTGAGACAAGGGTAGCCATCTGGAAAAAAATTAAGTTGTTTCATATCTTTTCTTTTACACTAGGTTAAATTTAAGATGGAGCAAACATTTTTAATGTGAAAGGTGGAATTATAAAAGTTCTGCAAAAAGACATGACAACATTCCTTGACAGCATTTTTATGAGGGTGGTCTAACTCTGACTAAAATTCCAAATATTTGAAATGAGTTCGTAAACTCAACTGTAATGAAATCAAAACCTTTGACATCACACAAAATGCTGAATATTGAAAGGCAAACTTCAGACTAGGGAGAAGGATCTGGAAATCATACCACCAATGTAAGACTGATCTCTTCATATGCAAAGAACTTTTTAAGTAGATAAGATTTGAACCACAGATAACCATTGCCAACTGTTAGGACCAAGAAAGAAAAAAATAGATGTTCCCAGATAGAAAGAGGAGGTCCGGATGGGAAATGTAAAACAAAGTCCAGATTTCTTTAAAAAAAATTAAAATAAAATAAAGATAGGTACCACATCACCTGATAGAAAATGAAACAAAATATATGAACAGATGCTTCACAGAAAAGAATTCAATTACATGGACTGCAGCCTTCATTATGAAGAAAACTAAGATTCTTACCACTGAGCCAATTGGCAGCATCATGATAGACAGTAAAGAGATTGAGATTGTTAACAGCTTCAGTTTGCTTAGCTCTACAATCAACACTCTTGGTACCAGCAGTCAGGATATCAAAAGACAAATTGCATTGGGAGAATCTGTCAGAGACCTCTTTTGAGGACTGAATGGCAGTGATATCATTTTGGAGTCTAAGGTGCACCTGATCCAGGCCCTGGTCTTTGAAATTACCTGTTATGTATCAGAGAGCTGGAACATGACTAGGAATGATAGAAGGAGAATTGATGCCTTTGAGTTGTGGTATTGGAGAATAGAAGCAGGTTTGACCTAGAGAGCATGAAAAACCAGGCTGCTCCTTGGATGCATTGATTCTGAATCTCTGTCTGACATATATTTGGACATGTTGCAAGGAGGGACCAGTCCTTGGAGAGAGACATCATTATTGGAAGGGTGGAGGGACAGTGCAAGAGAGGAAGACCCTACGTGAGATGGATTGAATCAGTAACAGGGATAATGGAAGTAGGTGTGTCAGAGAAGTAGGTTGTCTCAGGACAGAGCAGGGTTCAGAACTGTAGTATATTGGGTCATTATGTCTAGCAAGCGACTCAACAGCACATAACAATAACAACAATAAGGGAAATGCAGAATTAAACCACATTTTCCACTAACAGATTAACAAATATCCAAGAATTTAATAACACAATGTGAGGAGACTGGAAGGGAACAGAAACTCATGTTTCTAGGAGAAGATTAAATTGTTACAATCCAGGGGCATATGGGGGTGGGAGGAGCTTCTTAAGGAGCCACAGGCGTCAAATGGCCTAACATCACACAGAAAGATCATTCAGCATCCTAGCTTGCTGAGTAGCATCTGTGGTCTTGAAACTTGTGAATGTCCATCTACAATGAAGTGCTGCACCTCCAGAGTAAAAGAGAAAGAAGGAAACCAAAGTGTTGTAGAAATTAAATTGTAGGCACAACGTCACCTCCTCTGGAGACCAGAAGAACTAGATGACACTCAGCTACCACTGGCAACTGCTGGGACCAGGAACAGAGAAGATGGTCCCAGATAGAATGGGGAGTTAGTGGGCAGGAAATGTAGAACAAACCCAGATTCCTTACAAGAAAAAAAGCCTGGCTTACCAGACTAATAGAGACTAAAGGAACCCTTGTAGACTATCACCCTGAGATAACCTTTAAACTTGGAATTCAGACCACTTCCAGAGGTTACCTATCAACCAGATGACAGAGGCTCATAAAATAAAATCAGCCGTGAATATCCTTCTGAACGTTGATCTGAATGGGATCTATTGTTGTTGATTGCCTTCAAGTCAAGCACGACTCATAGCAACCCCATGATCAATAGGCCTGAAGCTCCTCTACAACCATCGACATTTATCAAAGTTCATAGAGTATCCAGAGACATGTTATTTAGGAAGTGGATGCCACTCCTGCTTCCAAATCTGCTATAGTATGTTATTGTTGTTACGTACCATTGAGTTGCCTACAATGTATAGCAACCCTGTGTACAGCCGCTCTGAACCCATCCCTGTCCTGAGCCAGTCTCACTAATTCTGACACACCAGCCCCCATTGTCCCAGTTACTGAATCAGTCCATCTCATCCGGGGTCTTCTGCTCCTGCACTATCCGTCCATGCTTCCGAGCATGATGTCCTCCAAAGAACCTTCTCTCCTGGCCATGTGCCCAAAGTCAGTGAGGCAGAGCTTCAAAATCCTAGCCTCCAAATAAAATTTTGGTTTCACCCTCTCCAAGGCAGACTGATTTGTTTTCTTGGCAGTCCATGGTATGTTCAAGACACTTCTCCAGCACCACAACTCGAAGGCATCAATTCTGTCATCCTTAGTCATTGTCCAACTCTCTGAAGCATAACAAATAATTGAGAAGACCATGGCCTGGATTAGGGGCACCTTTGTAACTAGACTGACATCGTTTCTCTTCAGCACTCTGTGTACTTATGCAGGGGTGTTTTCCCACCTTATATATTACCACATACCCCATGGTTCAACTTTCAGCCAAATGACATCCCTGTAAGGTGAACAGAAATACCAAGGAGTATAGAAATACACTCCTTCGAGCAATAAAGTGTATGAGATTTAAAATGTTGCCTTTGCTAAGCAGTGAAACTGAGAAGGTGGCAAAGAAGGAAGGATGGAGATGATAAACCCAAGGAAGAAGTGGGGAGAGTGCTGTTCCATGGTGGCCGTAATGTAAAATGTGCATAAAATGCTGCATGAAAAGCAGTTTGCCCTGTTCACCCAAATCACAGTACAAAGTTTAAAGAAAAAATGATGGGGAGAGGCAGAGGGAGGAATAGCCATCAACAGTAATCTAGTTAAATAATGGTATATCCACCCAAGGCAAAATTACTCAGCTGTTCAAAAAAAGAATAAGAATGATCTCTCCACGCTGATGGAGGAAGAGCTCCATGGGACGTTACTCAGAAGAGGCAAGTGCCGGAGCGTGCTGCCTTGACAGAGTCTGTGTCACATGTCACAAAGCAGCCCCGAGAGCTCAGTGGGTTGCATGTTGGGGTCAGCCACGTGGACCCACCAGTCTTCAGGAGAAAAAGTTTCCTCCTGTTAGGACATACAGCCTTGGGAATCTAATGGAGGAGCCTGTCAACGCAAAGGTGGCTCTGAGAGGTTTTGCTTCATCTAGTCTTGTTTTTGTTGTGGGCATATGAAAACAATGGAGCATGGCAGTCTATTTGTATCAGTTTATATAAAGCACAAAGAGTTTCTGGAAAGATAGATGAGAAAATTGCACTGAATAAGTGAAGACGATGGTGAGAGAGACTGTCCATTGGATAGCCTTGTCTGCTCCCTGCTCGAAAAGTGACATAAACTTCAATTTAAGAAGAATGCAGAGCCGCCTCTGCATTTCCTCTCGAGGGTGCAAGGTCCACCCCATGTTTGGGTTGGAACTTTCTAAGAACCCTATCCTTATTTTTGACCTTAAATATCAAGAATGTGGACATCAAGGGTTAATTCTGCCTCTTAGTATTTTGGTGGCTTTGCGCAGGGCACTTAACCTTGCCGAGCTGTTGTTTCTTCGTCTTGTAAAGAGGCTCTAATAGCGTTAGGAGGATTGGTGACCAGCAGAACGCTGGCCCTTCGTAAGTGTGGAGTGAAATGACTGCTCAGGCTGCTGTCTGGTGTCCTTGGGGAGCCTGTGACTGAACGCCCGGCCTCAGCTGACTGTTGCTTTGCAGAACCAGACATCCTGGGTGCTTTCCAGCATGGCCGCCCTCTACTGGCGAGTGAAAGGCCACGGAAAGAAGGCCATTGACTGCCTCCGCCAGGCCCTCCACTACGCTCCGCACCAGGTGAAGGTGAGTGTGGCTCAGGCTGTAAGTTCCTGTCCCTAATACCTTCCCGTTGTCCAGTGATTTCCTCAGCCAGTAAGAAGGTGGGAGAAGGTAGCAAACTGGGCCCGGGAAACGTATAACCAAAAAGCCTGTGGGCTCTGCCCATTGTCCGGCCTTCCCACCCTCAGCACTTTGGAACATGGGGGAAGGTCTTGGAGTTCCCTGTAAGATACAAGTCCTTTTATACCTGTTCCACTGTCCTCAGAGCCGCCAAAGTGCAAAGAAGTACTGGCTGGCCGAGCGGACTCTCTGAAACCATTCTGGGTTAGCTTAGCCCGTGGGCATGGATGCCTGGTGTACATGTTTGGCTTGGACTCCATTCTTGAATTTGCTTCCACAGAACTCAGAAGGCAGGTTTCCATTTCTGCAGATACATTGATCAGTTCTTGGTCTTTGTGCAGCTACAACTTTACTTCAAAAAATGAAAGAGAAGAAGAAGAAAGAGATACAGCAGTGTACATCATCAGTTTCCTCCCAAAAGTCAGTTACTGTTATGAGAGCCAAGAGTGTGCAATTTTTAACAGCCATTTGTGTCCACACATAGTGAATTTTGCTTTAATGTAGTTCTTGTACTTCCGAAAGGTGATGTCTTTGTTAGACAGCAGCCTTTGCTGTCCAGTGTCTTAGAACCCTAAACATAGCTCTATCCCTTCCTAGCTTTGTGACCCTAAACAAGTGATCGAACCTCCTTGGTATCCTCTAATGATTTCCCCAGTTCAGGGAAAGATAGATCCTTTTCTTCTGCTGCTTTCATGTCTCCTGTGGAACCCAGCACAATGCTGTATTGGAAGCAGACAGGGAAGAAACATTTGTGGGAATAACAGTGTTGCTACTTACTCAGTCTGTCACTCTGTACTCCGTGCTTCTAGGTGGTGAGTTGAAGCTGAAAGACTCTGTAGGTGAGAGGTCGGCACCTTTTTCTTTAAAGAAGCAGGACACAGTAGTTCAGGCTCTGTATAGCAGGTGCTTGCTGTTACAGCTACTCGGTTATGCCATTCGAGGACAAATGTCGCACAGACACTGCCTTGTCCTGGTTAAACTTTAGAGAAGCAGGCCATGGGCGGGTTGGGCTGTGGGCGATCGTTTGCTAAGCCCCACTCTAGATGAAGCGGTGGTCCAGCCAACGTACCTGTGACAGGGCTCCTCATAGTGGGGGTTGTGCACAGGACTTTCTATTGCCGATCTTCAGTGATGAGGACCTACCACCAGAATACGCGTCCAGTGCATCATTCAGCACATTATTTACATCAGCTGACATTGTTGGAGGTTTTTTTTTTAAAAGGCTGCCTCGATAAAAGAAAGAATGCACTGATTTCTATCTTGGTGTAAGTCCTGTGTCTAACAGAGATGACCCTTTGAGCTGTATCACTGTGCGGTTTCAGAGCAAACACCTGTCGCATTTGTTATGATCACAGAAGCCAAGAATGAACGCTGAAGAAGTTTCCACTCTTTTTTCCTTCTCTCCATTCTCCCAGGACGTGCCCCTGGTTAGCCTGGCCAACATTCTGCACAATGCCAAGCTCTGGAATGATGCCATCGTAGTAGCCAGCATGGCCGTGGAGATCGCACCGCACTTTGCTGTGAACCACTTCACGCTGGGCAATGTCTACGTAGCAATGGTGAGACTGGGGGTGTGAGAACAGCGTCTCTTAGTGGGACCTCCTCCTACACTGCAGACCTGTCCCGGCTACATCCATTCCCTTTATTCCTGGGAGTTCTGTGTCTAAAAGAGCTAACTATACAAAGGGTGTATTTTCTAGATAAAGAGTCTGAGAGTTTTAAGAATAATGAATGAGGCGAGCTCTGGTGGCCTAGTGGCAAGAAACTGTACTGCAGTCCCAGAGGTGAGCGGTTCAAATCCACCAGATGCTGTGCTTTAGGAGGGACAATCTCCTTCTGTACCAGTCAGATCCAATTTGATGGTACATACACAAAAAAATAAAAAAGGGGGAAAAAATGAATGAGAAGGGAAATGAGAATGTGTAAAAGAGAGGAGGTGGGTAGAAATTAAAAAGAAAAGGAAGGGGGAAAACACATTAACATCACCAGTATTTGCAGCCAGATAGTTCCTGACCAAGGTAGCTCTACTGGCTTAATGGTAAGGAGTTGCGCTGCCAACTCAAACACTGGCAGTTCAAATCCACCAGCTGTTCCATGGGAGGAAGATAGCCAGTCTCTTCCCTTATGATTTATAGCCTCTGAGAACCTGCTGGAGAATCAGCTGTGAGCTGGTTCAACAACACACAAAAACAGCTGTTGACTTTAGTGCTGTCACACTTACACAATTTTTTGGACACATCTATTTAGACATCTAAACCTCCCTTTTCACTCTGCCTCGACACACAGCGTGCTCTCGTTTCCAGGTGTCTCTTGTCAGCGCATTCACGATGCCGTCTGTGTTTTTGTCATGCCGTGTTTTCACATTGTTTTGTAATTTTTTGTTTAAAAAAAAAAAAAGAAGTGTGTTTCTCCCTCTAAACTGAGAGCTCCTTAGGAAAAAGGCTCCTCTTCATCTTCCTCGTCCCAGCTCTTCACACACTGGTTGGCCCATAGTAGGTGCTTACCACATGTCTGATGCATGATGACACACCACCAGCTTCCTGGGATGCTCTTTCCAAAGAAGATGCAAAGCCGTTACCCAGATCTCCCATTCTTTCAAAAAATAAGAAATGCTTTCAGAACTGAAAGTCCGAGGGAGCATCCCAAAGCTTTCAAAAACAATTTTCACCAGGAATCATACCATGCACTTTCTCTCGGGTGGGTAGACCCTGAATGAGGGTCTCAGACTGTGAGCTTGCCTTGACTTCAAAGACATTAGGTGTCATCTGGCCAGATGGGGACTGCTGAGTGTTCAGGCTCCTCCCCTCTGCCTTCTTAAATGGAAGACCCAATTCTGGGTCCCAGTTAATGAGAGATTCCCCCCCCCCCATGGATGCAAGATTTTCTCTCTTTTGACTAGTCAGAGTAATTTTACTAATCAGTTTAAGCTCTTTGAAAGTTTTCATCTAGGAGGAAAAAGAAATACCTTAAGTATGGCAACAATCATTTCCCCTCCATGTTAATATTTTTATGTGCTAAGGATAATTTTAAAACTTGCTTAAAATTTACAAGTCACTTCCATCTGTCCAGCTACAGTAGAAAACTCAGGCCAATGTGTCATGAGCCCTGTCTGGTTCTAGAGGTTTCTGTGAGGATTTAATAAACCATTTTGTAAAAGCACCTAACAGTGCCTGGCACACAGTAGATTCTTGGTAATGGGGGTGGGGGGCAGTGTGTGAATGCGAGGTGCCGTCAGGTCCTCGTAGTCAGCCTCCTAGTGAGCCTGTTTACACAAGTGGAGGCCTTGCCTGGCCCTGTGCCATCCCCACAATCGCCCTGTGCTCGGGCCTGCTTATTGGCATCACTGTAGCAATCCTTGTTCTTAAGGGTTTTCCTCTCTTTCACCGACCCTCCACCTTTCCAGGCATGTCCTTCTCCGAGGGCTGTGTCCTCCCGGTAACAGGCCCAAAGTCTGTTCTTACTTATTGCTGCTGCGGGGTCGCACCTTTCTCAGGGTTGCTCTCTTTCCTTTGACTCTTCAGCTCAGCCCGTGCTTCTCTTTGTGACCTTGGACCCTAAGTTTCCTCCCAGGCCTCAAAGTTTTACTCAGAAATGAAGATCTATTGAGAAACACGGCACGATTATCACTAGCTTTTGGGGTCACAGTGTACATTCAGCCTGATGGTCTCCTCACCGTTATCCCTTGTCCCCCCGCAGGAGGAGTTTGAAAAAGCACTGGTGTGGTATGAATCGACCTTGAAGCTGCAGCCTGAGTTTGTCCCAGCGAAGAACCGAATCCAGACCATCCAATGTCACTTAATGCTCAAGAAGGGACGACGCTCAACCTAGTTGCACCCCCTTCCCTCCCTCTCTTTTTCTCATGCTCTTAAAAGAAAAGATTAAGAAACCAATCGCTGTCTGTACCTACTTTTAATGATGTGTGTGAAGAGATAACCGAGTGAGACCTAATAACAGAACTTTTCAAATTGTGGGAATTGGTTGACTTTTTGTTTTATTTTAAAGTTCCTCCTTTCCTCACCCATCCCCAGAAGAGGCATCTTCACAAACACAAATTCCTTAGAAGGAAAATGCAGCTTAAAGATACTGTGTAAATACCGAGCCAAGACATCTCTGGAGCTCTGCTCTGCTCCCCAAAACCTCGAGGCCTGTAGGGCTCCTCTCAGTGGTCCAGCCAGCCGCCCCGTCTCCAGAGGCGCGCGCCCCCCGCATTGCACACGCCCTGCTTACCATAGCTCCGTTGTCAGTGGGAATACACGCAAGCCCACTTGGTACCAGTCAGTGGGAAGCGATGTCTGCACTCCCCCCATTAGATCTCCGCGCTTGGCCTCAGCCTTGTTCGTTCCATGCTGCTTTTACAAACTCTCCGAGGTAGTGTGTAGGGGAGGATGGGGAAACTGAGCTTAAAAACAAAATAGCTACAACAGCAAATGCTCTTAGGTTCATCTGACCTTTGTAATGTTATTTATGTTGGGGAGGGAGGGGGGCCAAGAAGGGGAAATCAGCAGCGTAACAACATCTATATCATTTGTATTTTAATTGCAAAACACAAGGAAACCAATAAGTTAAAATCCTATGTAACAGGTTTATATATAATAGAATATGTATGTTTGAAGCCCTCTATAACTGAGTCTATGATTTTACTAATTCTTTGTTCACTGTGTTACCCATCTTGGAGGAAGGTGTGAGTGGCAGCTCCCTCTCTCGAGGCTTTCCGACTTACTCCTCGCGGGAGAGCGGCGAGCCAGGGCTGAGTGTTTCTGCAAAACTTCTCCCTGTGGTCCCAGGAGAATCAGAAGCTCCAGACATTTGGGAATCTTTAAGGGCACATTCTGAGAACCAAAAGAAAATAAAAGTTGTCTGAGCAAAATGAGTCTGTTGTATTGGTGGTGGTTTTCTGGGTGGGTGGGGGTGTGTGTGTTTCTTTAGAACTGATGTGGAAGCCTGCCTGTAACTCTGGTCAGGTGGCCCCGAGTCTTAGGGTATCATCGTCTATCAGTCCTCTACAGTAGCAAGGTGAGGGAGGAGCATTTCCTTGCTAGGTTCCCTGACTGATGAATTTAGTTGCCTGACACATTTGACCAGGAAAGATCCAGAGCAAATATTCAGGGTATGTAATTGACCTTCCCTGAAAAGGACCAAGAATCTAAGCCACAAAGATGTGTGTGTGTGTGTGTGTGTGTGTGTCCATCCATGTCTCCTCCCCTCACCCTCAGCACTAGCCACATGTCTCCTCCCCTCACCCTCAGCACTAGCCAAAGACCCTGAAGCTCATCCAAGGAATTTCATCAGGAATCCTGGAGAGTCATCTCAGGACCAAGATGAGCGTGCATGCCTTCTGGCATGAGGTTCCGTGGCAGACAGGCGTTCCACAGACTTTACTAGATACTCAAACATGGACTCACTGAACTTGGAGCATTTGATCCTGGTACAACTGACATTTCTTAAAAGAAATAAGCCGTCAGACATACCTGTGGGTGCTCTTATAATTTATGAAGCTAAAAAAAAAAAAACCCAACAGCCAAACCTTTCACATTCATTGCCTTTGAGTCAGAACCATCTCATCACTGGGCCTTCGTTTAGTTTCCAAGGGTAGGGAATTGCCCGTCTGTCTCCCAAGGAGCCACTGTGGATTCAAACTGCCTGAGAGGTGCCACCTTCGAGATAGCACAGCTCCTACAGACACTACCAGAGTTTCATCAGATGGACTGTAGTTTTGCGTACAGTGTGCCCACATAAATAATGGGGATGGCACACACAGAAAGCTAGCTTGTGCCATTTGCAGAAACTGTTGTGCGTGATATCTGTGGCCTGCGGCATTTTGAGAATAGCTAGCTCGTTGGTTACTGAATAAAGTGGGCTGAGGGCGGGGGGAATCCCTTTAAAATTCTGTGTGTGGGGGTGTAGTTCTTTTGCTTAACCTCTCCGCATTCAGTGCTTAGGTTTTCCTGAATCCTGTCTTTGGGTTTTCATGTATGAACAGTGAAATGCATTCTGCTGTGAAGTGCTAGGAATTTTGACAAACACAATGGATCCTGCAGCTGCCACCACAAACAATAAACTCGGACCACCCCCGAAAGGCTCACCTGGCCTGTGTGATGGTACTTAATATTGGAAGGGAGGGGAGACAGAGAGGGGAGCTCAGCAATGTACATCTATGTCATCTGTACTTTGAATACAAAACACCAGAGAACTTAGAAGATTAAGTCCTGTCACTTGCTCACCCACTGCCCTGAGTGGGAACTGACTCGTAGTTGACCTTCCAACCAGTTTTCAGAGGCTGTAAATTACATGGGAGAAGATAACCTGTATTTCTTCCGTGGAGCAGTTGGTGGATTCGAACCACCAGAGAGATGCTGCTTTTTGGATTAGCAGCACAACTTCTTAAGAACCGGGCCACCAGAGCACCCTGAAGCCCTAGGTAAATGACTGAAAGAAGTATGTATATTCTTGGCAGTAAAGCCTCCCCCACCTTAACCCTTGCCAGCCTAGGTTTTGTTCCCTGTCCCTAGTCTGTGCTTTTATTCCCCCCCCATAATGACATACAAATAGAATTATACAGAATCAAGAGTTTTGAGTCCTATTTCTTTCATTTAACATAATACACATAATGTTGTGTGAATAACCAGTTAGTTCTTACTTCTTGCTCAAAAGTATTCCACTCTTTATTTGCCCATTAGAAGACACTGCTCTGGGAGGTTATTTGTGGACCTGCTATAGACACTGAGAGGTAGGTTTTGTGCGCTGCAGTTTCCATGTCTCTGTAGAAGCTATTGAGCCACCATTTCCCTGCTGGGACCTCTGGGAAGTGGGAATAGCCAAGTCCACGTGGAGGCAGCTTCAAATCTGTCTTTATACCCAAGTGTGAGGAAGAGACAGGTACAAATATGATCCACAGAAAGGGAAAGGAAAGAGCATGGCTTTTATTTTAAACCTCTTACTACTGTATTCTAATGAATGTTTACAGAGCAGATTGATATCCTGTTCAACTGTTCATGCATTATTTTATGACATTGATTACGGTCCCCACCTCATTCCTCTTCCCACTCTGTCTTTAAAGGGGGCTCTGGTGGCCTAGTGGTAAGAAGCTGCACTGCAATGTCTAAGGCGTGTGGGCCAAATCCTCCAGCTGCTCTGTGGGACGTGATTGATGCCCCTGAAAACTCACTACAGGGTCAGTTATGGGTCGATTCTGACTTGACGGTGCACAACCACTCTGTGTCTATGAGTCTTGTGTCCATTCAGTCTTCACTCCCTCTGCTTTCTGAGCTTTCTCCCTGGACAAATAGTTGATTCCTGGACAAATAATTTCTTGGAAATGCCTGGTAATTGCTTCCAGCATTCTAGATGGTCTCCTCGCAGATGCAGTTTCAAAATATGGTGGGAAGCCACAATGAATTGATCAGATTGGTGCCTCTTTACAGTCATGTGAGAGCCCAGGGTTACCATCATGATAGTGACAGTCCCAGGCCGGTTATGTATCCCGAACCTGCCTGGCAGCTCCCCTGACATGTTGCTACCTTCTTGTTGTTAGGTGCCATTGAGTCAAGTACAACCCAGAGTGGCCCTACGAACAACAGAGCTGAATCCTGTCTTATTCCGTGCCATCTTCACACTTCCTGACATATTAGATCCCACTGAAGCAGTCACTGTGTCAATCCACCTGGTCGAGGGTCTTCCTCCCTTTTGCCAACCCTCTGCCTTCCCAAGCATCATGTCCCTCTTCGAGGAATAGCCTCTCCTAGCAACATGCCCAAAGTATGTGAGGTGAAGTCTTATCATCTTTGCCTCCAAGCAGCACTCTGGCTGCACTTTCTCCAGGACATATTTTTTTTTGTTCTTGTGGCAGTCTATGGGGTGTTAAGTGCTCTTCTCCAACATGACAGCTCAAAGGCATGAATTCTTGTTCTGTCATCCTTATTCAATGTCCAGCACTCAGACACACAGCAAGTGATTGAAAAGACAATGGCCTGAATCAGATGCACCTTAGTTCTCAAACTGACATCACTGCTCCTCAATAATTTGGAAAGGTCCCTGACTACAGACTTACCCAGTGCAATACATCTCCATGATTTCCTAACTGCTGGAGCAAAGGTGTTATGTTAGTTGTGGGTCCACATAACCACATAAGATGAAGTTGTTGACAGTTCCAATCTTTTCTCCATCTATCATGATGTTGCAGGTAGGTCCAGTGGAAACAACGTTTGTTTCCTTGATGCTCGGACTGTTCATGTAATCCATCTTGAAGGCTGTATTCTTTGATCTTCTCCAACAAGTGCTTCAAGTCCTCCTCACTTTCAACAAGCAAGGTTTTATCATGTCCATATAACTCAGGTTATTGTTGTGGTTACTAACTGAGACAAAGTCCTGACTACCACCAGATGAAGACAATGATCCCTGCTTGCTGGGAGGAGCACCAGGGACCAAGTGTCCTGGAAGTCAGGGTCTCGTCTGTTCCATGCTCACAGAGAAATGGCCTCACTTACCCACTTCCAGGACAGATTCCACCACCGCCCCCAGACTTTTGTTCGCACAGTGAAGACTTAGCTCCTGCACTGATCCCTTTACAGTCAGCTATGTCTGCCTCCTTGAGCCCCACATTGGATTCAGCACACCTGACTTCAAATCCTACCCTGCCCTTGACTGGCCACACACAAGGGCTAGAGCAAGCCACTGAACACTGAGAAGACCTTCTCAGTGAAAGAAATAAGGATAAGAACGACTCTTCACAGGCCAGGTGTGAGCATTAAAGGGATAAAGAATTTAAAGCACTTAGCACAGCATAAGGGAGTGTTCGCTGTCGGCCTTGTCTCTGTGCTGTAAGAGCTGGGTGGTTCTAAGGGATTTTTAATATAAGACCCAGCTCCAC